TGGGGGCATTTTTTATTTGAACCTTGAAAATTAATCTATTTTGCCAGATTTGGTGGCTGTCGAGGTGGGGTAAAATTAAATTATAATTTTCTTTTCAAATTCATGTGACTATTTATCTCTAAAGCAGCACTTTTTTACCTAGGGAGCATAACCTTTTCAAGAAGTGTTATTTTGGACCACCTTTTTAAAGAAAGTGAAATGTAAAAACTTGATTATTAAGTGATGTTACCATAGCAACTGAAATGTTAGATATATAAAATAAACCATATGATGAATTATTTCATCTTTAGATATACTTCAGATGCTTTAAGAATCAACAATATGAAGAAAATTATGAAAATCAGCAAAATAATGCATTTCTACGGTAACAAATAGTGTCTATTTCTGTTGCTATAGCAACGGATTAAAAAATTTTCTTGATTTTTGTCACATGTGTCAAGCATCATACTAAAACCGATTCCTGAAAATTTCAAGTTAATATATTTATTAGTGTCTGAGATATGATGGTGTCTTATAGTACCCCCTGTATATTTTATCAGGGGGGTATAAGAAATGCTCTGTAGAGAGTTGCCCAAGGGTGCCGCTCCGGCATCCTATGGTTTTGAGGTCCAAACCCTATACTCATGCTGATAAGTTTAAAAAACATTGTAATCCGAAGAAAACGATTAGCTTTGAAGTTTCTGCCAGACTATATGTGATTTTGTCAATTTACAGAAATAACTTCAGAAGTGTGGTGTTGTACTCTCAACACCAATTGGAAACATTTTGATACATTTTGTAAAGGCCAATGAAGCAATATCAGGGATCTGCTCAGTTGCCCAAATAAGGAACAAATTGTACTGAAATGGAAAATTGGTTTAAAGACAAATGCAGCTTAGATGTGGGCATTTTGACAATTTCACACAATACGCTTTTAAGCATGATGTAAATGAAGGTTTACTATAAACATCAACATAAAGTTTTTTCCCAATATGTGAAAATGCACTGCAATGCATGAAAAACAATTGCTCTAATTGCATGTTTAGTTTACCTACCAAGATGATGACAATATAATTACCTTTTTAAAGAAAAATGTTATCTGATAAAAAGATGATTGTGTTAAAATGTCTGAGTTGCAAAGTCATCTGAACAAGGCCTATTGGGAAATCCAAAATTAAAAATTTAATACCACCAAGAGATTTCATACACCTTAACACAACAAAACATATTTAATTTTTGTTAGTTTAGAATATAATAAAATTATGGTTTATTTATCATAATATTAAAAAATACACATATTCCTGAATCTAATCAAAACATTAGAAATGCTTCCAATTCCTAAAATTATTGCATAGGAATGTTACAATAATTTATTTTATACAGAATATAATCCTATAACAGATAAAAATTACTTTTGGATTACATAGCAACCATTTATAAAAATTGTGTAAAATAATTGACAATTGTACAAATTCCTACCAAATATAAAGGAAATTTTGTTTACTTACATCCTGCAGGACTGAGGGGCTTTTACTGGCTGTGTCTCAATTGAACTTCATTCAATGAGATTACGAATGCAATCCAGTGCATGTTCAAATAGTAATAAAGTGACTTTGGTGATATGTTTTAGATGAATACATTGTAACACATTTCTTTTAAACAAATGCTATGATTGCCAAGCAACATGTTATATGGAAATTTCAAAAGCAATATTTGAATTACCATTAATTTTAAATTGTTTGACATATATGCTCATTTTCAATGGGGTTTGTAAAAAAGTAGCAGGGTATTTATGACAAATGTCACAACCTATTTGCAGTTTTGCACACATTATTAGAATATGTAAATTGGAAGATCTCGACTCTAACAACATATATTCCTTTCAATCCTAGGAGAGGATAATGCCAAAATATGAAGGCTGGAATAGACATTACCCACACATAAGACTTCCATTATTGAATTATAAGGTATTCACAAATAATTTTAGACAACAAATTTTAAACAAATCTTTGCACCTGAGTTTCTCTTACAAAATACATATGTAATAACATATATAATATAATGATATCGAAAACATTATTGCATTAACACAAAATTGATTCCTCTTTGGTTTTCAATATAATATACAGTGAAATCTGTCAAAGTGGAACACCTTTGGTACCTCTAAAAAGTGTTCTACTTAGGAGGCGTACCACTTATATTTAACATCTTGGGATTCTGAAGTGTTCCACTAACACAGGAATTCCAATTTACAGGTTCAAATGTACTTAACATTATGTAAGATAACATGAAAAAACATTAGAAATAAATTAATAGACTAGATGCTAGTAAAAATAATCTTGATTTTTATGATTCAATATTCAAAATTAAATCAATCATACATGCCAGAATAAATCTGCTTTGGTTGTGAATCAATTATTTTTCCTTAAATGAAATTTCATGTATTGAATCAAAACTCACATTTGATATTCATTTAACATAAGGTAAATTTTTTGATGCTGTACGTATAATACAAAAGTCTTCCTATATTGGCAATGTATGTTTAATAGTTGTAACAGCTATTTTGAAATTATAAATTCAAATGCTTCTAGAAATAGAAAACATGTTTGGATATTACTTAGTTAACTGTTAGCAATCTGAGATTGATTAATTATTTTACCAGAATATCCTTGTTTGGGCAAATGTCTCCTTCTGATGGACTTGTGACAATATTGTGCAATGAAACTGTTTTTTCAAGCTGATCTGACATATCCAGCTTGTGTCACTCAGTACTGTCAACCCCTAAAGATTTTCTCGCGGGACAGATTTTTTAGACCCAGTGCCCAAAATTCGCGGGATTTTGCGGGACATCTACTAAATTCGCGGGATTTTGCGGGACATTTAAGGGATTTGCGTGATTGCTAATAGGAGATTTTTTTTATCAAATTCGCGGGATTTCGCGGGACCATTCGAGGGACAAACACCCTAATTGCGGGACAGTTAACAGGTGTACCACCAAAAACTTCATAGAGGGACAGATTTTATAGACAAAGTGCCCTAAATTTGCGGGATTTCGCGGGACATCCACCTAAATTTGCAGGATGTCCCGGGACATTCAAGGGATTTGCGTGATTGGGACTAATGTAAAAGCGTGTAGAAGTACTTATATCAAACTTTCAGATACTGATTAATCAAATATAATGCACCGTTACATTGTAACTTAAATAAACGTCAACACAATTTCACAAAATACGCATAGGAATATTATTAAACTTTATTGTAATTTATCAAAAACAAAAACCATGCTTCAGGTGTGATTACCGTAATCTAACACGAAATTCAAAAATTCGGAACAATACTTTGCACTTCTGGCGTCTCGACCAACTATGAAACGCTTACCCCCATAATGTTATATATTAAAATGTACCTATTCATATACTGTAGGCATGGGCTTTCAATTGAAAGCCCATGATATAGGGGTTCGACTAATCTACATCAAATTATAGGATATGAGGTTAATTTTCTAGATAGGGTTTGTATAAAAAACCGGGTACCGGGTAGTAAATCCTCCATGCTGGGTTCAAACTTGGTACCCGGTCGAAAAAAAAACAAAAAACGAAATATACGAATACACAACATAATTAGATCATTAGAAAACGTGTAAGATTTGTTTTGAATTTACAAAAATGTATGTAACTTCCTTCAAAATTGAGCTAGAAGCTTCAAATAAAAAGCATTTTAAGGCTCTTTTCTTCCTCTATCATCTTGGTCATATTTCCATTGGTAATGAAGGGGGGGGGGTGCGATCGCATCCCCTCCTGGCTACGCCAATGACATTGTAAGACGATTTGAAAAACAAGACAAATCAATCTTACTCTATTTTCAATAGTTCGTATGTTGGTACGTGAATTGTTTTGATTATGATTTAAATCTGTAAATAGCTATCGTTGCTTTAGCAGAGAGGTGACGTGTGTTAATTTGCATGATGCAACGTGTAAGATTTTGATTATTAATCATAATTTAAGTTATCCCAATTTATGACAAAATGTCCACTGAATTGTAAATTGTTATGTCTTACAATGTCATAGGCGTAGCCAGGTGAGGGTGCGATGGTGCGATCGCACCCCCCCCCCATAACCAATGAAAATATGGCCATAACGATAGAGGAAGAAAAGTGCCTTAAAATATGCTTTTTATTTGAAGCTTCTAGCTCAATTTTGAATCATGTTACATACATTTTTGCAAATTCAAAACAAATCTTACATGTTTTCTCATAATCTAATTATGTTATATATTCGTATTTTTCGTTTTTTGGGTACCCGTTTTTTTTGACCGGGTACCGGGTACCAAGTTTGAACCCAGCATGGAGGATTTACTACCCGGTACCCGGTTTTTTATACAAACCCTTTCTAGATATCAGCGTACATTTATTGTAACTCGCGTTTGCTAACATTTGCTCAGTTCTGAGATGAAGGCCACACGGGTAGTAAAAAGGCCAACGTTGGAACTATTTGTGACCTACATCCCTATTTTCGTAATTAAAATGAAAGTTGAACCCTTCCCCTTTATTTTGATACCAAACAACAGCATGCTAGGTACTTAAAATTAGGTAAACTTTACTCCTCAAAAGTGCAAAAACTTAGCTTCTTATATAAGATAAGATAATCAAAATATAGGGGATTGCAACAATTTCGGAAATTCGCGGAGGTCAAAGCCACATTTTGCGGGACTTCGCGGGACAATGCGGGACACGCGAATTAGCCTAATTTTGATCAAATTCGCGGGATAATCCCGCCATTCGCGGGACACTTGACAGCTCTGGTCACTTGTCAAATAGTGTGCCTGAATTCAAACAGCTACATTTTGGCTATATCTGGGCCTTGTTTTGTGGTAGTCTTAATCAAATTTAGGCCAGAAATTGCATTACTTTCTGCCTCTATCTCAATGATTTCTACTTGCAATGTTTTCTGACCCAAGCTGACACCTGGCGGCAAAATTTACTATTAACTACTAGCACCTAGGTAATCTCTATTAATCATGTTTTATGGCCCATCATGCTCAGTATGCCTGCATACTAACCATAAAGTCTGGTGTACACCAATGGGGCAAATTGGGACCTCCATAGACCTAACATTGCGTGGGACTTCTTGGGATTTTGCCCCATGGAGTCTGTAGGACTCTTTAGGATTTTGCCCCATATTGCCCCATCGAGTTCTATAAGGTCCCATGAGTCTATGAGGTCCAATGAGGTTCCACGTGGGATTCGATGGGGCAAGATGGGGCAAAATCACACGGAGTCCCATCTTGCCCCATCGAGAATGAACATGTTCATTCTTTCCATGGGGCAATGGGCATTGTGGGATTTTGCCCCATCGATCATATGACGTGTTGTGTGAAGTCCAACATACACCAATGGGGCACGGTGGGATTTTATGTCGCTTGATGGGACTCCATGGGCCATGATGGGGCAAAGTCATCAAGAACCCATGTGTTCTTGTGGGATTCAATGGGGCAAGTTGGGATTCGATGGGACTCAATGGGGCAAGTGGGATTTTGCCCCATTGGTGTATACTGGGCTAAACAGACCAAAAAAATTTGTTACATTAAATATTAGTTATACAAGTAAATATTAGTTATATAAGAATGTTTAGCTATAATGGCTTATCATTGAATTTTACTTTCTTGCCTTCATTTCTCAATTGGCCATTCTGTAGATTTTCATGTGATTTGGTATTTCCATCATCCATACTTTCTGTCGTAATGCTTGGTATCTGAGGATTCCCTTCATTTATCTGTGAAACTGGATCCCCATTGTTCAATTCTGGCACCATTACTCCTGATGTTAAGTTGGTGCTTTCAGTTTCTGCACTTCCCACTGAATCTGTCTCTAAGCTTGCACTATGTCCAGTAATTTTAGAATTTTGCATTGTTTGATTGTTACTGTTGGATTCATGCTGTGATCTTTCATTTTCCTCTGTCCAGCCGCTGCCATTTGGGTGACCTTGAAATACATGTACAATGAAAGAGTCATGGAAAACATATGAGTCTTGTGTAAGTATTGTTGTGAATACAGGGTGTCCAAAAGAAACAGGGCCGTAAGAAAGTTGAATAACTCAATTTTGCATATTTTGCCTTGTAATTTCAGAATTATTTAGTTCATTCAATGTGAATTTTGTTGTGAAAGTTTGATAATAATTTGTTAGTTGAGTCAAAATTTACAGTTCCTTACAAAACATGCCCAAGATGTGCACCTCTCCTCTCTATGCACAATTCAATCCGGCAAACAAAGTTGTTGATGATCTCCCTCCACACATATCTTTCTGAATGGACAAGTTTATTCCAAGAATAATACCACCAATACAAGCCAATACCACCCTAACACTGCAAATGATATGCTGAAATGGTTTAGGCAATGCTTTGGTGGTCAGCTCATCAGTCGCAGAACGCAAACCATATGGGCAGTTCATCTGCCAGATCTAAATCCCCCAGATTCTTATCTTTGGTGATTTCTCAAAGCCAATGTGTATACTGACAGGCCCCTAACAACCTTAAGAGGGCAATAACTACCCCAATATGTACCATCCACATTGATGTGTATAGGTTAGGGTCATTAACAACTTGGTTCACAGTATTCGTTTGTGCAAAGAGAGGAGAAGTGCCCACTTTGAGCTTGTTTCGTAAAGTACTGTAGTTTTTGACACAATTGACAGATTATCATCAAACTTCAGGAACAGAATTCATATTGAATGAACTAAATAATTCTAAAATATGCAAAATTGACGAAATTATTCAACTTTCTTACGGTCCTGTTTTTTGGTATGACATGATTTGTTTGAAATAAGCTAAAAATAAATGATGAAATAAAATTGTTGACTTTTAAGCCAATCAGTATGAAATTAATTTAGTTTGGAATTGATCAAACTGCTTCTTAGGTCAGGAAATTTTTCAAGCTTTCAAATTTTTGGAAAGCGGAGGTCATCTTGAGGATGATATACCATTGAAATGTGCAGGTTGACTTGAAAGTAAGGATGACATACCATTGAAATGTACAGGTTGACTTGAAAGTAAGGATGACATACCATTGAAATGTACAGGTTGACTTGAAAGTAAGGATGACATACCATTGAAATGTACAGGTTGACTTGAAAGTAAGGATGACATACCGTTGAAATGTACAGGTTGACTTGAAAGTAAGGATGAAATACCATTGAAATGTACAAGTTGACTTGAAAGTAAGGATAACATACCATTGAAATGTACAGGTTGACTTGAAAGTAAGGATGACATACCATTGAAATGTACAGGTTGACTTGAAAGTAAGGATGACATACCATTGAAATGTACAGGTTGACTTGAAAGTAAGGATAACATACCACTGAAATGTGCAGGTTGACTTGAAAGTAATGATGACATACCACAGAAACGTGAAGGCTGACTTGAAAGTAAGGATAACATACCATTAAAATGTGCAGGTCAACTTGAAAGAAAGGATGACATACCACTGAAATATGCAAGTTGACTTGAAAGTAAGGATGACATACCATTGAAATGTGCAGGTTGACTTGAAAGTAAGGATGACATACCACTGAAATGTGCAGGTTGACTTGAAAGTAAGGATAACATACCACTGAAATGTACAGGTTGACTTGAAAGTAATGATGACATACCACTGAAATGTGCAGGTTGACTTGAAAGTAAGGATAACATACCACTGAAATGTACAGGTTGACTTGAAAGTAATGATGACATACCACTGAAATGTGCAGGTTGACTTAAAAGTAAGGATGACATACCACTGAAATGTGCAGGCTGACTTGAAAGTAAGGATAACATACCACAGAAACATGCAGGCTGACTTGGAAGTAAGGATGACATACCATTGAAATGTACAGATTGACTTGAAAGTAAGGATGACATACCACAGAAACGTGCAGGTTGACTTGAAAGTAATGATGACATACCACTGAAATGTACAGGTTGACTTGAAAGTAATGATGACATACCACTGAAATATGCAAGTTGACTTGAAAGTAAGGATGACATACCACTGACATGTGCAGGTTGACTTGAAAGTAAGGATGACATACCACTGACATGTGCAGGTTGACTTGAAAGTAAGGATGACATACCACTGACATGTGCAGGTTGACTTGAAAGTAAGGATGACATACCACTGAAATATGCAAGTTGACTTGAAAGTAAGGATAACATACCATTGAAATGTACCATTCAAATAATGAAAATAAAAACTGAGGGTACAAGAATTGCACTGGTGAATTGCTATGCTCCGAACAGAGATAATGATAAGATTGAATTTTTGAATAACCTCAGTAAATTAATAGATACGATTGGTGATGAGAATTTTGAAATTATAGTTGGTGGTGATATGAACTGTGTGATGAACAATGACATTGATATTATATCTGGTAATAAGCATAGCAAAAAAGTGGTTGAAAAACTTAATAGGTTTGTCAATTTGAATAATCTGAATGACATTTGGCGTAATCATAATGAGGATGTTCAAGAATATTCATGGTATCAGAAAAATCCATTTATAGCTAGAAGGCTGGATTATTTATTTGTTTCAAATGGATTAGCTAATAAAACTGTGAGTGCAGACATTTACCCATGTGCAAGATCAGATCATAAAACAGTATGTGCAAATATAATTTTTGGATCAACAGATAAGGGAAGGGGATATTGGAAGTTTAACAACAGCCTTTTAAAAGACAAACACTATATATCACTTATAAATAATTTAATTGAAAATGTCACTCAGGATTTTGAGAATCTTAACCCGCAAACACTGTGGGATGCATGCAAAAGTGAAATCAAACAAAAGACTATTTCTTTTTGTCAAAAACGTGCTTTAAATCAAAAAAATGATCTCAAGCTTTTGGAACATGAGTTGAATTTGGCACAAAAAAGGTTGGCAAAGGCCCCAAATAATGCAGAATTTAAAAATGTTGAAAATAGATTAAATTTACAATTTGAATTAGCGACAGAAAATAAAGCAAAAGGTGCTCAAATTCGCTCAAAAATTGACTGGGTAGAAAAAGGTGAAAAGAATACAAAGTTTTTTCTGGGATTGGAAAGTTCTAATGCAAAAATGAAAACAATTGAGCATTTAGAAAAAAGCAATGGAACATTAACATCTAACACAAATGAAGTGCTAGATATCTTATTTGAATATTATCAGAACTTATATGAAGTAAATGATGACATTAAATATACTTTAAATGATTTCATAGAAGATATCAATGTTCCTAAATTAAATAATGATGATATGAAATTATGTGAAGGTGAAATATCTGTAGATGAATGCTCAAAATGTTTAAAAAAGATGAAAAATGACTCAAGTCCAGGCATAGATGGACTTACATCTGCTTTTTATAAAGTTTTCTGGTCAAGGGTCAAATTGATTTTAATTAACTCTTTAAACTTTTCATATCAAAAGGGACAATTATCGTGTAGCCAGAGAAAAGGTATCATCACATTGCTTTTAAAGGGTAAAGAACTCCCAAGGAATAAATTGAAAAGTTTTCGCCCAATTTCACTAACATGCGTTGACTATAAAATAGGGGCATCAGTTTTAGCTCAGAGGTTACAAAAGGTAATTAAGAAATTGGTTAATTCAGATCAAAATGCTTATATGAAGGAGCGAGGTATCCATCTTAATCTTCGACTTATTGATGATGTATTAAATCATATTGAGACAGAGAATTTACCAGCAATGATGGTCGCATTAGATTATTCCCGGGCATTTGATTCGATATCAAAAACATTCATCATTGAAATGCTCAAAAAATATAATTTTGGTGAAAGCTTTATCAAATGGATTCAAGTTTTTAATAAAAATACTACATCAGCGGTAACAAATAATGGATTTTTCACCCAGTGGTTTGAATTAAAGCAAGGCTTGCGTCAAGGCTGTCCATTAAGTGCATTGATCTTCGTTTTAGCAACAGAAATGTTCTCAAATAAAATTAGGCAAAATGATAATATAAAAGGAATTACTATAAACAATGAAACTAATGTCAAAATTACAACATATGCAGATGATGCTACTGCATTTCTAAAAGATAGCGCATCACTAGAAGAACTCATGAAAGAGTCTGACAAGTTCTATTTGACCACAGGTTTGAAACTAAATAAAGAAAAATCCCAAGCAATGTGGCTCGGGCAAAATAAAAACTCAATGGAATCACCATGTAGTATAACGTGGAAACTTGGACATAATGCCAAACTGAAAATCTTAGGAATTATATTTTCTAATACATGTGAAGCTAGCAAAATTGAAATAAACTGGAACCAAAAAATAGATAAAATGAAATCATTGATAAAATTGTGGTCAAAGAGAAATATTACCCTTATTGGAAAAGTCAACTTAATTAAATCTTTGATAGCATCTCAAATAACAAATATGCTGATGGTGTTTAAAGCACCTCAAAACATATTAGACAATATAAATCATATTTTGTATCAGTTTTTATGGGGGAATAAAACTGGGAGAGGAGGGGAACGGATAAAAAGAAAAATACTTCGTCAAAAATATGTAAATGGAGGTATAAATATGATTGATATAAACGTTACGCAAAGTACAATGATTATGACCTGGGTAAAAAGATATTCTATAACACATCAAGCTACTTGGCGTAATATATTTAAACATTTTCTAAAAAAATCTGGACATGGACCATTTATATTTGAATATCAAACAAATTATGAAAATCTCAAAAATAAAACAGAAATAGAGAAACTCCCAGAATTTTACATATATCTAATCAAACAATGGCTCAACAATAGAGACCTCAGGATCACAAAAAGTGTTTCAAAGCACGATGTGTTTTGGAATAATATGAACATACAGTTTAAAAGGTCAAATATTTATTTCAAAAAATGGATGGACCGAGGTATTGTAAAAGTAAAAGATTTTCTAAGTCAAAATGGTTCCATAAAAGATTATGATGAAATTGTACAGATTGTCGGGCAAACACCTGAAATCCTTTTACAATACAATGTAGTTAAAAGTGCACTGATGAATGTCGATGTTGATATTCAACAGGAGGAGAAACCTTGTAAATATAATAAAATGTTTGTTAAAGATATCACCGCAAAGCATTTTAAGAATATGATTTTGGATAAAGAGTTAATGATTCCAAAGGTTGAAGCAAAATGGGATCAAATTTATCAAAATTTGACATGGAAAACTATTTGGTATGAATTTTCAAAAATTAAAGAACCAAGACTTAAAGCATTGCAATATAAAATTATACATAAAATTTACCCAACAAACATATTATTATACAAGATGAAACTTTCTGAGAATGAGAACTGTAAATATTGTAATACGATGAGAGATACATATGAACATTTCTTTGTGGAATGTAGAATTGTTAAAGGATTGTGGAAAGTTGTACAAGATAAATGCAATGCTAAATTTGGCAAAATGATACATATGTCAACTAGTGATATACTTTTAGGAATGGAAAACAGTGATATAAATAATTTGGTCTTAGTAGCCAAAAACTGTATCAGTAAATTCAAATATGGAAATTATGTCAATTTAACAGTACTATATGAAAATGAATTGTATGTTAGAAGTTGTATGTGAAATGAATGAATAAAGAAAAAAAGAAAAAAAAAAAAAAAAAAAAAAAAAAAAATACCATTGAAATGTGCAAGTTGGCTTGATAGTAAGAATGACATACCATTGAAATGGGCAGGTTGACTTGACCCAGGTGTAGGGGATGGGGCTCTTGAAGTGGTTTGTGAGGTAGCTCTAGAACGCAATGAGCGAACTGACAGTAATTCCTTCTCATCCATTATCTTATGTGACATCTCCTACAATGTATAAAACAATCAGATCTTTAATTAAACAGGCTAATCAAACAAAAATCAAAGGTCAGAATAATGATGATATTTGTCCCAGCATTTGAATATACAATTAGAGGAAAGTTTGAGGAATATAAGGAAAGTTGATCAAATTGATCAAGTTGATCAAATAGTGATTTCATGATTAGGTGGCAATTTTGTACCTGATATAATGATTAGCATTGAAAACTGACATACCAGTGAAAATTAATAGAACATGTAGAATAAAAGAACATTGAACAAGGTTTAATTGTGCCAGATATGACCTTAAACCTTGCTAAATGACTCCGGGGTTATAGACATTTGTTTGGGTAACCTCTTTTGGCTCGCCCTGTACATTATATATTTCAGATGACAATTCTATGTTTTCCTTTACCAAACAGATTTAGTTTGACACTAATTTTCTATTCTAATGCTATTTCTTGTCTGCTTTTCTAAAATCAAAATGTTACAATAAATTTGTAAATAACACTCTTGGAATGAAATGGTGTTAATTTGCCAACTTTATAATTATGAAATCTATTTAAGCAGAAAAGATTGTTAAAGCTGACCTTCTAGCCTTTCAAATGGTATCATAAAACACTGGACAAATTGAGTCACTTATCTTTGAAGATTTCATTTGGTTGGCAAATATCCCGTTTTCATTGTTCCAAAAAATGTTGAGGGATGGATGGACAGATGAATGAACAGATGGACAGATAGATGGATGAGTGAGAAGACAATTCCATAAGCTTACTATATGAGTCAAATTACATATGTATTGAGTGATTCATTGAGATCAGAGACTACTGGAATTGCTTGGTGAGTAGAATTCAGACACTTCATTTCAGATAAATAATTGATATGATCATATGATAGTTGTAAGAAGGTTTGATTAACCTACCATATTCAAATTAACCAACCATGTTCTTTGGAATAGTGGCCCCAATTAACCAACCAAGTTCTTTGGAATAGTGGCCCCAATTAACCAACCATGTTCTTTGGAATAGTGGCCCCAACTAGCCTTCCATATTCTATAGAATAGTGGGCCCCAATTAACCAACCATTCTTTAGAATAGTGGGCCCCAATTAACCTATCATTTTCTATAGAAGAGTGGGCCCCAATTAACCAACTATGTTCTTTGGAATAGTGGCCACAATAAGCCTACCATATCTTATGGAATAGTGGCCCCAATCAATCTGCCATATTCTTTGGAATGGTAACCTTATTCAATTTACCATATTCAATGGAATAGTGGCCCAAATTAACCAAACAACTTCAATGGAATAGTGACCCTAATCAATCTACAATAATCAATGAATAGTGGACCTAATCAATCTTTCATATTCTATGCAATGGTATGGCCCCTATTAAGTTTTGAAAAAAAGTGAAGTGTCATGAAAACCTTCTGAGGTTCTTTGTGTTCCAAGTATTGAAGTTTCTCAAGCTATAGTAATTATTCTTTGCTCACAAAGAGAAATGCTAAGTCAATATTCCTAACCTATAAATAATTGGTACCTAATACAATTAAAAGCAAATAAACATTGTATTTTAACAAAAGTCATGGCCAAGCTGAAATTCTAGATATCAGTTGTTGACTGACCTTTTATCCTTGTACAACTCAAAAACAATTAGCCTTGGGTCTACCATTTTTTTGAGTTTTGAGTATTTTTGGGTTTTTTTTGTTCAAAAAGTTTAAAAATGTAAGTTCCATTTGTTTTTGGGACAAACATGAAATATCTGCTCCAACCTCATCAAATTAAAAGAGTCAGCATTAAGATAATTAATCTGCACAAGCCTTAAGGTAAATTGCTTTTTCATCAATATTTGATGACTTTGTCTTGGAAATGATAAATCTGATGAGTCTGAAGAGACGATACAACTATATCCAGAGATTACTCCATCAAAATGACAAACATTTACATGTTGATCACTCCATTCTAACATTAAAAATTGATTTTTCCTTGAAAAGTTTTACACAAACAAGTCATGATATTGTATACTCATATTAACAATAGGCTCACGTGAAACCAACACAAATAAGATCTTTAGTCTATAACTTTCAATACATTTAATACTTTTAAAGATGATGATTAAATTTGTTCTCAGTTATGAGCCCTTATTTTGATGATACAACACCCAGGCAAATTCTTTTAAGAAACCATAATATATTCAATTGAAACCACAGCACATATAATAATAATGGCCATAAAGGGTTACCTCTCTGGTCCAAATCTCATTGGTCTGTGAAACCTGTTTAATCCGAACTCCTCTTGGATATTCGGGTTTCACTATATATAGTAAAATTTTACTGCATGTTAAGAAAACCAATGGTCCAAGAATAAACACTGAATGCTAATGATACTAAACAATAGCAATAAAAGAAAGGGAAACAATCAACAGTGATGAGTATTGCACTATTTTTACAGAAGAATTCAAAATTGCCACCGAGTAATTCATCCACGAGCCAAAAACCTAATCAGATCCTATGTCTAGTCAACTCTAGAAATTTCAAGTCAAACAGATAAGTGTTTTTTCTGGAATTTTGATAAAAGCATTTACATATCAGAACAGAGCAGACCTTTGGGAGGTGCATGTTGCCATTTTGATGTCATTGAACCCTATAATGACTGCCTCACAACGCCCTATTCTGTGCGGAGCACAAAAAGTAAACAAATATTTCAAATACAGAGCACTTGCCTTTAAAATTACAACAACAATGAAGGCTTTAGACTGGCAAGCCGCACAGGTGGCCTTAAATAAACTTACTAAATTTTTCTTGGGTGAAAACAAATAAAACAATTATTTACCTCGGCAGCCTTTACTCTCCTATTTCTCCAGTCTTTAAGCACCTTATGACGGTTTCTTCTTGCATCCTTCTTCATGCTCAGATCCCCTTTGAGTGGAGGCAAGTGCGACTTAACAGTTTTCTTGCTACCTAAATCTCTTTTTGATGAGACATTGCTGTTGACTGCAGGACCAGATTCACCCTCCCGTGGAAAGGGTGCAATCCCACTTGATATATCTAAAAGGAAGGATGAATGATTAAGCTTTGTTGTATTAATATATAGGATGAACATGGAGATCTATTACTATAAAGGGAGAGCTGGGGAAGTGGAACCCCCCCCCCCTTGACCAGAAATTCTTTCAAATTCATGCAGTCTTTCACAATTCTTAGCACTTTTCGCATGTTTTTTTGCATAAACTGTCTATAAACTCCCCCTCCTGGCAAAAGCTCCCCTTGGTGAAATCAAGCTGGCTTCACAGATGTTTCTTAACTTTTTACTGATACTTATTCTTCATTTTTATCTAATGTTTGAATATACCACATATATCATGCTCTTGACCACATATGACTATGCCCTTGACTTCATATGATAATGCTATTGACCCCATATGACTATGCTCTTAACTACATATGACTATGCCCTTGACTTCATATGATAATGCTATTGACCACATATGACTATGCTCTTAACGACATATGACTATGCCCTTGACTTCATATGATAATGCTCTTGACCACATATGACTATGCCCTTGACTTCATATGATAATGCTATTGACCACATATGACTATGCTCTTAACCACATATGACTATGCTCTTGACCATATATGACTATGCTCTTAACGACATATGACTATGCCCTTGACTTCATATGATAATGCTATTGACCACATATGACTATGCTCTTAATGACATATAACTATGCTCTTGACCACATATGACGTACTATGCTCTTGACCACATAATATGACTATGCCTTTGACCACATATGATTGTCCTTGACAACACATGATTATGCTCTTGACCACATATGACTGCTCTTAAGACTTAACCATATATGAAAATGCTTTTGACCACATATGACTGCTCTTAACCATATATGAAAATGCTCTAGACCACATATGACTATGCTCTTAACCATATATGACAATGCTCTAGACCACATATGACTATGCTCTTAACCATATATGACAATGCTCTAGACCACATATGACTATGCTATGACTACGCTCTTGACCACATTTGACCATACATGCATTTAAAGGAATATTCCTTGCCAAACCATCTCTCTCCTCATATGGTAGCTATAACCATATATATGCTTGCCATGTATAGCAAAACACACAAAAATGTTTTGATATGGTCAAATTTGATCACTTAGAAATGTGATGCTCAATTCCAGTAAGCTGCCATCTTTTAAATTTCACACAGGAAGTGATGTCATCGACGCTCAACTTTACATGTAGCATTAGGTGAGGAGCTATTAAAGTGGGAATATCGATTGCCGAGTCGTATCCAATGATCCTGGGCCTATCGTAAAATGAAAGCTTTGAATATGTTGTTGCCTTTAAAAATGTATCTATTTTCCATGTATGCAACTAGAATTTGTGCACATACCTTATAACGATCGATAATGGCAAAGGAAAATCCTCTAATTCTTCGTCATAATTTCTCCTTCGACGTCCGTCATTTTTTATTAAACCGGAAGTTTGTTCTCTGACGTCCGCGCAATATTTTTTCACTTTTATTTCAGATTACGCTTCGGATTCAACATTTAATGCTTTCTAATATTAATTAAGTGTTTTCTATCAGAAAGATTTCATAAAAAGACTCACACTATCAGAGATTTTATCGATTCGAGCAGCCAGAAAAATTAGATTCAATTTCACCCGCTAGGTGTTTCGACGTCGACTTGGAAAGAATTTGAAAAATCTATGAGTGGGACTCCTTGTATGGAATTGTAGATTCTAAACGATTTGCCAGTTCTACTGGTTGATGACTATTGCCATATGCATACATTTTTATGAAATAGGAATAAGGAAGAAGATGTTGGACCAAACTTCACCCCGATAGCTCAGAAAAGGTAAAATTTCTCCATTTTTCTCTCCACAGACCTTAGAGCCGCTTTAAGAATTACAAAACCAGCTAAATATTCTTTTTCAACTTTGTATCTTATTTAATCCTTCTGAAAATCTCTTCTTTTATTCTAAGTTGACAAGCCCTGAAAACAGTTTTGCACAGAAAGTAATGATCACTTGTCTAGAAGTGATTTTGTGCTACTTTCCTATACTGTTATGGGCAAGGTTATAGAAGTTGAGAGTTGATGACATCACGTCCTGCAAGACATCTTAAAAGATGGCAGCTCACTGGAAATAAGCACTAGATTTCTAAATGATCAATATTGACCATATTAAAACATTTTCCCATGTTTTGCTAAATATGGAAACTATATATATGATTATAGCTACCATATCAAGAGAGAAAGGGTCTGGCAAGGAATATTCCTTGAAGTAGAAGCAATATAGTTCCATTCCAAAGTCAAATGCTCAATAATGTACTGTCCAAAATAATTCTGGTTTGTGATACCTTCCCAGGATACCTTTAGTGTCTCAATGTCTCTCCACATTTAGTAGCTTGTATTTGCGTAATGGATTCTTCTGTTCACAGTTATTTCCTCTAATGTTTTAGTTATCTCTGTACGGAACACCTGTCTGCAGAGTGCAGACAAGGAACAGTTTTGTCGTATGGAGTGTTCCCTTTACACAGGTTTTAATTGCTGTATAATAAAGTACTTTTAGTGCAAAACTGAAAGATGTAGACCATCTAAACACTTGTATCTTTCTGGAAAGATAGTGCCATGGGTGTAGCGAGAGAGGGTTCATGGGGCTTGTGCGAACCCCCCACCCCCACCCAATCCCTTTGTCACAAACCCTGTGGGAACAACCCCCTCTTAAAGATCAAATGCATGGCCCGAACCACTCTCAGAGAGGGACTATTTTTCGTGAACAATAAATCACATGTTTCTATTTGATGATCCATGTGCCTGCATATACTTTATTGCATAATTTAATTTGTTCGTTACCTCCCCCTTATATATATATATATATTTCTTTATTGCGACCATAATTGATCATCATAATATACATTATTTTATGTTAACATATATACAAACATTAAGGTGAACAATACAAGGTCGGGATAATATTTACAAAATGGCGTTTGTTCGATGTTGGTACATCGCATACAAAGTATTAACAATAAATATACAGTCATCCTGCTCATCTGGAGCGAAGATAAAGGGCAATACGCCATCCCCATATTTGTCAATAAGGGGTTTTAATAATAATCGACGACTCTTAAGTTCAGAACAATCCTTTATAAAATGAATTAATGTTTCACACTCTCCACATAAGCCATCAATTTCTTAGAATCAAATTCGAACCATGGAAATATTTGTTTGTTTGGAGTTTGGACACTCTGCTGTGTTTGGACACTCTGCCAATGAAGAAATAATGAACGTTGACACTTACCAACTCCTTCCTGTTTTGTAGACGTACAACCCATTGACGAATGTTTTACTTTGTTTATGATTTATCCATACATACAAGGCTATTACTTTATATCTCCTTATTTACTTGATAAACAGCAGTATGAGTAAGAAATATGACATTTCTACATTATTACATTCCTCCTCCGTTGTTACAGATACAGACTAACTTACACATAGATGGCGCTGCGTTAATTGACGAGGGATCGTTCATTTTCTAATTTTGTAAGTGGTCACGATTTCTTCAATTATGATAGAATTAGTGAAATGAACATCAATTGCAAAAAATGTGATTCAAAATATCACCAAGCAAAATATCTACCTTGCCAGTAAGAAGTCTTTCACCTGGTATAAAACTTTGATAAATATTTATTGAGCGCCCCCTCAATTTCGCTACATCGTTTTACTTAGAAAAGCTGTTCGTGTTTAGAAAAAACGGCGTAGAAAAAAATATTGGAAAAAGTTAAATGTAAGTTTGTTTTGCTCACATCTCAGGCGGCTATATATTAAATCAAATTCATATTTTGATTGGGCAACACATAGGGACCACGGATAGTGGGAAGTTACTAAGGTTCGAATCCTTCTCTATATCACGGTTTGAGTAATTGCACAGGGGCTTGTCTCGCCCTCCGATGAGTGTGTTCTGCTTATTAAGAGTATAAGGGTGGCCGATGTTGATGCTTCCTGAAATTTATAGAAATGATTGTAAGATATATCCAGTAAAAATATATGGAATCCTTTCAATAATCGACATGCTTATTCAAACAACACTACAGTGTAAAGTTACCCAAAATGGTAGCAATCCATCCACTGGTTGCTGAGAAATCTGAAGAATATGTAAAGAAGTGATTAAAATGAAAAAACCGACAATTTTTACCTCAAAATTATTAGCTCCAGAGACGATTTCTTCCTCAAGACACGCACTTTTAAAAATTGGTAGTTCCTAGAGTTCTTTGTTTCCCTAGGTTCATTCCCGTATATTATTTTTAACAAAGGACAGCCTATAACAACTGCTATAAGCAAAAAGATGCATGAAATTATGTTTCGAAACTGAAAGTTGAAAAAATGGCGACTATCCCGTGTTCCATGCGCAGTTGCGTTCAATCCAGCAATTTGATTAGTTCATATTATTAACGCATGCACAATAACTACATCTTTTTTCTAGATAGATGTCACTTGCGTTCATTATTTCACAGCAGTCCATTCCCATGATGCACCTAATATTGCGGGAATATTTTCCCTTTGTGATAAAACAAATAACACTCATCTTCGAAATATGTTTTCCGTCTTTTTTCATTTTTATCACTGCACTTCTTTACATATTCTTCAGATTTCTCAGCAACCAGTGGATGGATTGCTACCATTTTGGGTAACTTTACTCTGTAGTGTTGTTTGAATCAGCATGTCAATTTTTGAAAGGATTCCATATATTTTTACTGGATATATCTAACAATCATTTTCTACAAATTTCATGAAGCATCAAAATCGACCTCCCTTAAACTCTTTATAACAGTACAGAATTATTGGAGGGCTCGCCTGACCCTCCAGACAAGCCCCTGTGAGTAATTGGGATAACTCCACTATAAATGGCCCCATACAATTCAATTGAAAAACTTGCAAATCTTTGGACCAATTATGAAAAACCTAAGATTTCAGTAACCAAACCACATATACCACGTTATAGCTCCATCATAGTCAGCACCATCTATCTAATATCTAACATAATATAATGAAGTCCAGTAACTTAGAAAAAAAGAAAATTCTAAATAATTTTTTTCTCATGCCAGGGGCTTTGATCAGTGATATTTTATGTTTATTCAACTTTCATATTTTTGTAACTTGTCAGAAAATTTTTCTTTAACATTTCTCGGCGATCTGTAAATAGATATGAGGTCATGTCCATGGACGGAGTTTTGGCCCAAAAAAGTTTAAAAAATTGTGCTTCAAGCTAAATATCTGCGATTTGCAAGTGATTCTGACCATGTTTTAAGTATCAAAATAATGCTTAGAGTATTGAGACTCAACTGAAGTTAAAAAATAAGGTGAAATGTACACAAACTCAGTGATTATGACCAAACAAAAATGGGACTCCTAACCGGAAGTCAAAAGAGTAACCTTACTTTCAGTCTAATAACTGAATAATGAAGATTGATGGTGCTCACTATGAGCTTCATGTATCGCCCTTGGGACTCGAAATGTCTAGAAAAAAGAGCCACCAAAATCAAAAGATCTACTTTTTCCGCCATCTATTCGAATTTTCAACACTTTACAACAGATTTCAAACACAAGACCACCGTCACAAAAAGTCAAATATTTGTAGTGAAACATAGATTTTTTCTCTTCTCCCTTTCAAAAGCAACATCTGTGGAGTGATTCCATTGTTACAGCCATCCTGGTTACTGGTATTCAATATTTGTAAATCATGGTGACTAGTGGAGCAACGATTGACTCGTGGACTCGAATACTACTCGCCAAACCCTGTAAATACGATTCATCGATTGGTAAATTCTGACTCGAATTGAAAAAATGATGAAGAAAATGTGATTTACCCACCTTTCAACCGCAATTTACGTAAAAAAACACATCCAATGTACAACATTTCTGTACAATGTTTAGCAATGATGCCTTCCTTAATATATAGCATTGTAGTTTGATACCTTAACTGAAATAATAAATCAAATACGATAGGCTTTCTCGTGTTTGTTTTTATTTATTGATTACATCCGGTTGCGCATGTGCAATGCAATATTTAACGAGGTCAAACCAATTAGCGTAAATTGCTAAATTATTTACTTTTCAATGCAAAACAAGAACATATAAAGTGTATTGAGTTATTCTATTTGAATAATTTGATGGGTATGTTGGAGTTATTCAAGGTAGGTTGAGCCGAGAACACTTGAAAACATTGCTACCGGAAGTGAAAGTTCGCTGAAAGTGTAAGTTTTTCTGAACTTTTTTTCCAAAATCATTCATTTTAATCGCGAATAAATCGAGTGTTCAAGAGCCTCTACTCGAGTAGGATAATTCACACGAGTCCCACCACTAATGGTGACACACACACAGTTGTTATGGCATAATTGTAGGAAACATACCTTTATGCATTCATTTGTACAATGTCAGCTCATATTCCTGTCTTAATCAATGGTTATATATATTTTAATTTAGTTCAGTGGAATTTCATTTCAAAATGATACAGTAAAACTCAATCCCAAGTCAACTCAGCCCCGGTAAACTCAACCCAAAGTCAATGCAAAGGCAAATCTGTAAAACTCAACCCCAGTATAGTAAAACTCAACCCCATTCATTTCTGCAATATCTTTAAGTTCTCTAGTTCAAAATCTACTTTGATAATCTAGCATTTTGCATATTTATCCATAATGTCAGGATATTTGACAGACAGTTAAGCCTCTTTTAATATCAAATTTTAGGAAAATAATGCTTTTAACAATGTTAATATATTAATGAAATCATTAACGATAAAAAGTGTCAACCTGACTTGTATAGTCACAATATTGTATTTGAATGATTTCACAAAGAATTATTTTTCTTGTTTTAAAATACAATGTAGTTGCTTATTGTATGCATGCAAGACCAGAACGATGAGATGGTCTTGGTACTTGAGGATGAATATGTTATATTTCCTGTATCAGTTTTGATTATCATGATGAATAGCATAATTTTAAAGATTGAGGAAGCTAACTTCCATAAGAAGTAGATTCTTTTTTTGTGTCCTGGCAAAATCCATATCATGCAAGGGTACAAGTAAAACAAACACAAACTCAAGAGAAAAAACACAAACTTGTTTGCTGAGAAATAGACATTTTATGGGCAGAAAAAGGGATGACATCAAGTTGCAGTGATTAGGCTACAAACACATATCTATACATTTAGATATACAATATATTTAAACATAGCTATTATTCAAAGGTAACAAATAAGAAAATACACAATGCATGCCAAAGTATCAATGACACTGTCAATTTTGACGCACATCAAATTAGGCCATAAGAAGTAGATTCTTTGTTTTGCGTCCCCTTGCTTGCACAATTTTGAGTAAATCAGAAAAAACAAACACATCCAAATAGCAATCAAAAGGGTCTGAAAGTACCATCACATTTCGTTCAATCAGAATTAGACGAAATGGCAGATAATTTGATGTGCATCAAAATTGACAGTGTTATAATTACTTTGGCATACATTGTGTATTTTCTTATTTTTTACCCTTGAATAATAGCTATGTTTAAATATATTGTATAAAATGTATAGATATGTGTTTGTAATCACTGCAAATTGGTATGTCATCCTTTTTATGCCCATAAAATGTTAACTTTTCCCAGCAAACAAGTTTGTGTTTTTTTTGAGTTTGTGTTTGTTTTCCTTGTACCCTTGCATGATTTGGATTTTACCAGGACGCAAAACAAAGAATCTACTTCTTAAGGCCTTATCTGCCATTTCGTCTAATTCTGATTGAATGAAATGCGATGGTACTTTCAGACCCTTGTGATTGCTATTTGAATGTGTTTGTTTTTTCTGATTTACTCAAAATCGTGCAAGCAAGGGGACGCAAAACAAAGAATCTACTTCTTATGGCCTAATTGCAAAAAGTTGAACTAGAGTAGATGTTATTTAGTGTTGCCAATTGCAGATTCTTCTACCTTAACCAACAACGATGATTGAAGTGACGTGTAATGACAGACTGGGAAAGAAAGTCAGAGTAAAGTGCAAGTATCCTTTTCAATGCAGAATTGAAGCGTGATCACCCACACAAAGTTATACATAGATTATCAACATAATGAAAATATTTTCAAAATAATTAATCCTGGCTGGTGATACAGTTTGGAATAAGATCAGTGCTATTGTCATCTTTCACATTATGTGAATAATGCATAAGTTTACGTGTTCATTTACATCCTCAAAAGTTTCTCCCACTTTTGCATACAGTTGTCCTTAACAGAATTTCAGTGAAGATGATACAATTGGAGACCTCAAGAAACTGGTAGCAGCACAGACGGGTACAAAGCCAGAAAAAATAGTCCTCAAAAAATGGTATGAAACATCAGAGTCATCAAATTAGGTCACAAAAGTTATAATCTAATAATATTAAAATCAATATTTTAAATTGGAAGTAGGAATTTACATTGCTTGAGTTTCAGTATTGCAGTAATCTATAA